TGAATATCGTGGCGAAGTCCGCGGTCGAGGCGTTCTTCGTGAGCGAGCCAAAGTGCTTCACAGCGTTCCTCGACGGCCGCGCTACGACGCTGTACAACCAGAACTTTCCGGCTTGGCACGACCTGTTCTCGCTGTACCTGTACGTCGCGCGCGCGCAGGCGCGCGGCGACGCGCTGACGGTGGCCGTCGCGGTGGAATTTGCGCTAGCGTTCGGGCTGGACTGCCTCAAGCAGCCGGGCGTGGTCTACGTGCTGCCGTACCTGAAGCGCGCACAACTCGAGCGCGAGAGCAGCGAGTTTGAGCCGAGCGCCGGCGCGCCGGACCTCGCGACGCTCGAGGCGCGCTGGCGCTGCCAGTGGGGGTACAACCACGACCTGTCGCAGTGCGAGCGCTTCCTGCACGTGGTGCTCGGCGGCCGCGCGCAGTGCGTGCCGGCGCTCTACTGCGTCGAGTTCCCGGTGAAAGAGGTGCCCGTGATCGAAGAGTCCGTGCCGGTGCTGAAGAACCGCCTCGGCCGCTTTCTGCAGCAGTGCATGAGCAAGGCCGCTCAAAAGTGGGTCGCTGGCGCGGTGGCGTTCAGTTTCCCGGAGTGGGCGGACATTGCGCGGCGCGCGGAGCAGCTCACGCTCGGCCGCGCGGAGAAGTTCCAAGTTTTCGACGCGGAGCTGCGCGAGCTCGAGTCGCTTTTCGACGAGCTCGACGAGCTGGTGCAGTCGGTCGAAGAGCAAAAAGAGCAGGTCGCGCAGCTCTGCGAAGAGAAGCCCGAGCGCGCCGCGAGCAAGCGGCGCTGCTCGGTGGAAACCAAAGCGTCCTCCTCCGACGAGGAAGACGCGCGACCGCGCCGCAAGCGCAAGTCGGCGGCGAAAGTGGCCGCGCGCTAGCTGCGCCGCGGCGGCCTGCGCGCCGCCGCAGGCGTGACGTCCGCGCGCCGCTTTATTTTCAATAGCGCTAAATGCTTCCGCTGGTTTTCGCGACAGCGGTGACGGGAACGTTTCTGTGGGGAGTAAGTGCGCGCCAGCGCAGCGTAGAGCGGCGAGCTGCCGCAGAGCGCCTTCGCGCGCGCAGCAGACAGCTTTTTGCAGCTCGATAACGTGGCGCTCGAGTGCAGCGGCGACAACGCGCTCGCCGCCGAGCGCGCGCAGCTGTTCGCGCGCGCGAGTGCGGCGGCCGCGAAGGTGGTCTGTCTGCGGCTGCCCGGCTGCAAGAGCGTGACGCTCCGCAAGAACGGCACGGTCGTGCTCTGCAGCGAAATCGAGAAAGTTTCCGCCGACGCGGCGAGCAGCTTCGTCAACGTGCGCAACATGTTTCCCGGCGTAGCGGTCGCTAGTAAGTCGCGCGCGCGCGCAGGCAGGAATGAATGCGAGCTACGCAGAGCCCGAGTGCGCAACCGAGCGCGTGGGCGTGTACCAGGCGCCGGCGCGGCTCGTGGCGCGCCTCGCGCGCGGAGAGGTCGTTAGCTTCCACAACGGCGGCCGCGACTCGCTCGCATGGAAGAAAACGCGTAGTAACTGTCGCGAGTTCGTCCCAACGCCTGGTTCGTTCGTCGTGGGCTGACTAAGAGAACGTTTTGTTATTTTCGCTTTTGGCGAAAGACTTTCCTAGATTCTTCGTTTTATTTAATTCTCAAAAATTTTCTGCTCAGCCGCAGTTTTGGAGACCATGGAGTTCCAAAGCAAACCGTCCCGAGGACTCGCGGAAACTGTTAAGAAAGACGGTCCTTACGGAGGAAACGCATCGCCAGCCTGCGCTTCTCTCTATGTAAACAATATTCCAAAAAGCTGCAGCGAAGCTGAGCTAAAGGGCATCTTCGGCCAGTACGGCAAGCTAAAGTCCGTGGTCCTGCGCGTCAACCAGCGAGTCGGCCCGCACGCTTACTACGCATTTGTCAGCTTCGAGACAAGCGCGGAAGCGACGCGCGCACTTGAGGCACTGCAAAACTTCAAATTAAGTAAGTTCGATGAGACGCGACGTGCAGAAGGCAGAGAATTGCGCGTTGAGTACCAAAACCAAAACCAAACTCGCTACCGACTTCAGACCGATACTAAACCCGCCGCCGCCGGCGAGACCGCGCACAACATCCTTTATCACATGAGCCAGGTCAAGGCTTACGTCGAACAGTGCCGACTCGACTTGCTGCCCTACTACTCCAAATTACAGATGAAAATGTTCGAGCGCCCCTCCTTTAGTGACGCAGCCCAGGCTGCGCCCTTCGACCTCGACGCTCCCGGCGTGACCTTCGACGCCGAAACAGGCCGTCTAGCGCTGAACCTCAACCAGTTGATGCAAGACAGCGTCGACGTCTAGCCGTGGCGCGTTACTGCAGATGCTAATTAATTCTTCAGAGAGCTTTGCGTACTGAATGTTCTCTGAGTGTCAAGGCTGCTAGATTTTTTCGAACAGCGTAAAACGCGCTGCGTCCCGACTGCAAAGATTTCGCCGGGTTTGAGTATGTTTTTCGTTTTGCTAGAGATATCTGGCTGAGAGTGCTTTGACACTGTTCTCTCGCCAGAACTATAATTAATGTTGCGTGGAAGAGCTATGTTGAGTCTTCCGATAGATCAATTCAGCGTTTGCTGTGATTAGATAGCAACAGAGTGTTAAGGGCCATGATAGCGGCCAAGTGAGAGCGGAGCGTGGATGTTCGTCGCCACGCTCCGCTCATTTTATCGTTTCGTTTCTGCACTCTGCGGTGCAAGCGCGAGTTCTGGGTGGCGCCCGCGGCTGCGCCGCGCCTGGCGTGGGCGCCTTCCACCCTCCCCGGTATGATGCATAGTTTCAGTTGTACAAATGCGCTGCGAGTCGCAGAGGACCCCTAGATGGGTCGCGGCGCGCCGCGAGCGCGAGTCGTCGTCGTCGGCAGCTGGCCTCCAATTTGTGCAATTAAAAACCCCGCCTGTTTGCGCGCTGGGCGTTTTCCGCTGAGAAAAGTGCGCAGCGTCGCGCCGCACCGCCGCATTCGCGCACGCGACTGGCTCGCACACCAGCAACACTACACCAAAAGTTCAGCGAAATTGCGTAAACGTCGAGCGCGATCACCGCGCAGAGCTGTGGTTGGTAAATGAGTTTGCGGCCTAATTTACGAATCGCAGCTGCAAAATTTAATATTACAACTTGCATGCATAAAGCTCCGAGTTTCGACTTCTGAGTTGAGTTGAGAGATGCGGATTAAGTTTGTTGCGCAAGAAAATCTGTCTCCGCGCGTGCTGTTGGTGGCGCTGACAGTCGCCTTGCTCGACGCCGTGAGTCCCGGCGCGGCGATGAGGCCGGAGAGCGCGCTGCCGAAGCGCCAGGCGAACAGCCGCCGCGAGTACTGCGAACTCACGCCTGGACAAATTGACGCACTGGAGCCGCCGGAACTAGAGGAAACTGATTCTTCGCTGTACCCGGATCTGCGGCAGGCGGAGTTGGAACCGCGCGAACTTGTCAAACCCTCTGCGCCTCCTTTGGAGCTGCTGCTGGAAGCCGAGGCGGAAAAAGCCGACGCCGCGCACGCGGACGGCGCCGAGGACAAGCGCGACATTTTCAAACAAGCGAGCGACTATTGTCAAAAGCACAAGCGCGACAAAGAATCGGACGAAGCGCAAGAGTTCGTGCGCAACTTCAACAAAAACCGCGCGTTGTTTCTAGAGTTCCGCGACATGATTGACATGGACGCCAGTATGGACAGCCGCAAGCTTCTGCTGGAAGTCAACGACAAGGACTACAACAGCATCGTGAAGCTGGGCAAAGACGCAGTGTTCCCGCTTCTCTCGTACAGCAAGCTGCAGGACAAGCTGAAGGCCGCGTACGATGATAACGAGGTGTACGTCAACGCTAAGCTGTCGGAGTACCGCTCGAATTTGAGTCGAATGCTAAAGAAGCCTGCCCACGAAGTCAGCAAGGAGGAGATTGCTAACTACGGGTCGTTCGTCGTGGCGAGAAAGCGCTACATCAATGAAGCCGAGCAGATGCGGCGCAAT